AGAGTTTGGTTGTATCAGATATTTCCCTTTAGCCTGAGCATTTGCAGCCTATACAGAGATGCACACTGTCCTTGATGTGCTGCAGTAACCCACCCATGTTACCTGCTCATTTTGGAAGGTGAGAAAATTAATGTGTTTCTCATAGTCCTGGTGCAGCAATTCTGCCTGGTCCTGTTGCAGTCCCTTTGTGGTTCCTCTTCTCCCTTCACCCCTTGGTACCTATTGCTAGATGGAAACCAATGCAAGTGTGAACTTATGGAACCATCAAGAAAGCCCCAGCCCAAAGGGAACGATTCATATTCACACAGTTCTGAGCAATGTGACATACAGCATAACTTTCAGACTTGCATTTTCTTCATACCTAACACACTCAAACTTGTTTTTTATTAAGTCTTGGCACACCCCGTGGCATTTCTTACTCAAGCTGTTACGTATCTGCAGTTATCTAGGTCAACAGAACTTCAGGCCTGAATGATAATGATAATGCTTTTTAAATAATGCACAAAGAATAGTTTTAAATTAATATTGATTTTTTTCCCCCTCCAACAGTTCTGCTAGGAAATTATTGAATTTATTCAAAAAGCCTGACCAATTTCTCTGGCAAACAATTACTGTTTTTTTCTGGTCAGCTGTGAACTGATCCTGATGAAAATTCCACATCTGTATCTGCAGGGACAGCAATTTTGTTTTCTTGAGTAAAATATATTTTGTTGCTTCTACTCCAACTTTCACAGAAAATCATATTTTATACAAGACATTTTTGTAGCCTTTGCCACATATTCAGCTGTTACAAAACACTTTCACAAAAAAAAAAAAAAAAACCCACACAAATAGGAAACTATTATACATTATAGCAATACCTTAATAGGTTTTTAATGAGTGAAGTCATAAACTGTCTCTAAAATGTGGCCTCTCCAATTCTGCAGCTCTGGGCAAGTATCTGATTTTTCCAAAAGGTAAGCTGCTCTCTACATTCTTCTGTAAGGCATTACCCTTTGTTTTATTTTTAATTGGCATTTATTTGGATGATTTATGCAATGTGTGTTGATTGGACAAATTGTGAATTTAAATTCCATATATGAAATTTGACATTGTCACTATTGTTTGACTAACCACATGACTAGTTGTTTGGTTTTGCTATATAAAACCTGGCTATCCGAAAAGATAGTATTATTTGACTATAGTATGTACATAAAGCATGACAATGTTTATCTGCACCTTCCATATATTTTCTTCTATGCAGCCGTGATAGCCACAAAAATGTGCATAATGCAGCATTCCTGAGTTACACATCTTACAAACACAGCAAAATAAAAACTTGCACAAAATATGACTATAGCAGCCCATGCTTTCTGAGATTCATTACTCAGCCAAACTGAACTTATTTTTCTCAGGAGGGATTGCAAAATTTCAGATTTCAACACTATACTGTGTAATCATGGATCTATTTCAAAGAAGGTCACAAGAATATTTTTAGAGTCCAAAACATTTATTTTTCATTTTTCTGTTTCATTAAGTAGTTGCCACTTCCAAATCCCCAGCAATATGAAGAAACTATATTATGGACATTTAAGGCCTGGACTCATCTGATCAAATGCAGAGTTAAGCAGCATAGATATCTTGAATTGAGCTAGCTGTCTAGACTCATTTTATAACTAACAAAGAGATATAGACACTTTTATACTATGAATCATTTCATTGTAACATAAATACCTAATGTAAGTTAAGGGCCCAGGAGTCCAAAGACTATACCAATTTCTATCCTTTGAATATAAATGGAAACTAGATATACTAATCACTTGTATTAGCACTGTAGATTTATAAAGATGGCCATGATAAATTCCATCCTTAAATTAAAGAGTCACAAAGCATATGTAAGCCAAACAACATCTTCCAGGCCTCTATTGCAAAGATTTATCTATTTTAAAATGTGAACAGTCACAAGTATATACTAAGGAAAAGCTGGAGAAATGAAGACTCTTGTGCAGTATCTGAGATCTTGCAGAAGATTAAACCAAAATAAGAAATCATGCCAAGATGAAGCACTATGTGACTAAAAAGTTCTTAGAACAAACCACTTTATATTCTTATATGTATAGCTTTAAGTACTCTTTGCTCTGTTAGCAGAAAGTGTTCTTTAAAGAAAATTAACATCATTGGATTGTGATTGAAGGAAAAATTGAGCTTTAATAGGTTTATCTTTAATAGATATAATTGGCTTTCCAAAAAATAGATTGTTTTAAATGTCTGCAAAAAAAAAAAAAAAATGTGTTTCTAGAACTACTACTGAGAAAATAACCTGACAAAGTTCAGATGAGCATCTAAACCAAATGATTCTTGTGAACCTGCTTCTGTTTTTACAGTTTAAACTCATGATCTCAAAATAAAATCTCAGCCTCTTTCCAGTGTCTGACTCTCTTCTAGAAATGAAGGGTTAAAAGGAGCGGACATGTCTCCATGGGCAGCAAGGTGCAGGAAAGCAACTTCATCTTGGCATCTGTCTCGGAGGAGCTCTCAATTTTTTTTTTTTTTTAATCTCCTGCATTAGTCTGGTATGGTGAGTTGAGTAATATCTCTACTGGTATCTGTATATTTTTACAGGCAAGGATGCATGACAGTATGAAGTTTTAACTTTGTCACATCAAGCTCAAGCTGGCAGCGAGCTGCAAGGCAGCTGATTGCCACTAGTGCGCCTTGCACCAATTAGCCATGTCACTCAGGAGCACTTTAACACTAGCCCTGACCTCCCACTTCACTCAGTCCCTTGAATTTAGAAGATATGCCATGGCATGGGCAGAGATTTAAGCCCTTCTGCTCACTCTCCAAACGGATGGACAGAAGCTGCCCGTGATCTGCAGCTGCGGTGCCGAGTTGGAGCTCAGCCGTTCTGGCAGCTGTTGACCCCACAGTCAGTTCAGCAGGAGTGGGAGGATGCTCGTTCTCATATCCTTTCCCCCTTCTCCCGCTCTTTAGAGATGCAGGGATCGTGGAGGAGGGGGTGTTGCCCTGCTGAGCTGGGAATCCTGCGTCAGGAAGGGCCTGGTGCTGGTGGCCGCTGGTGGCCGCAGCGGGGGGCCGTGTCTGCTGGTACGGGTGAGACGCGGAGCCTCGCTCTCAGTGTCGCAACTTAACAGAGGGTGTCCAGCACGAACAATAGTGCGCTTCCTCTTTCCTTCCAATAATAGGAAACACACTATTGTTCTTCCCACGTGCTTGCGGCTAGAGCAACCTCTGCTTCCTTCTCTTCTTAAGTGCGTGTGTCAGCAAACATGTGCCCTTCCTGCCCTTGTCCTCGATATTGACATGAAGACACTTTCAAAGAGTCCTTGCAGCAGTTTTGCGTCAGAGGTTTACCTATAACTGCTGCATTTTATCTCTCCTATATTTCAGCCTTATTTAAGGGATGGCTTCAGATTCAAATTAAAATTTTAGACAGTGTGGAGATAATATTTTCACGTGATTAGACTAGTCTTTTTTTATTTAAACCACTCTTTTTGGGTGTGTTCATAGTAGTTCTAAAACTCATCTCACTTTTTTTGCGAGATAGCCACAAGTCCTAGAAATTCTGATCATCATTAACATCACCATTTTCAGATAAATTCTTCCATGTAAGAATTCCATCTTCCCCTGTAAATGCTCAAAATGTTGGGCAGGGATAATAATGGCAGTTTTCTTAAAAGCTTTGCCCTAAAGACTGCTTACAATTCCCAACCAAAGTACTTGTAAGAGATTTGATGCTTTAATATCAGTTGCACAGTGAATATTTTGAATAATTAGGACAAGCATAACTTTTTTTTTTTAATCTGAGCATTCTTTTTTTTTCTTTTTTTTTTCTCCATTTCATTTGGACATGCAATTTCATCCCTTGCAGTATTTATTCATCCTTATCGTATACTGAGCCAACACAAGTATGGCAAGTGAGACTGGTGAAAAATAACAATTCTAACACACACGCTTTTATTTGTTTATTTGTTCCTCTAGGAAGGCAGTTAAGGTCATTTTTGCAATTATAAAGAAAACTGGTTTTGATATGAACTTGTAAATGAATTTTGCTCAGAATTAATGAGTGAAGTTATGATTTGTTCTAAGATACAATTTGTGTTTTATGTATTCATTTATTCTGTTGTCAGTATTGCAGATGAATGGATTTTGCCCTATATAAAAATGGGAAGTTTTTTTGTAAAATTAAGGACATAACATAAAATAAATTCTGTTTCTCTGAAGCAAATTCTACATTATGTCCAGCAAAATACAGCTTTTTAATTAATGTAGCAGCCAGCATTGCTTACTAATACAAAGAAGTTTCTAATTACTCTATAAAACCTAAAATGGAATGTTACTATGCCTGCAAATGGAGCAGTCTAAAAATGTAGAAGTTAATTGCATATTTATAGCTAATTGCTGGACAATTTTGTTTAAATGAGAAAAAGACATTAGACTTCTGCAACATGTTAGCTGTACTGAATATCTGCATTTTGTTTTTATACTTCTGCCTAATGATCTTTACAATATTTTTATTATATTTATTAGTTGAACAAAATCACGTCAGTGATTTTAACTTTCTATATGTTTTAAAAGACAGGTTAATACCCAGCATCTCTGTATATCCTGAACTCTTGTAACAGGAGGCATAATCTATGTTCAGATGTGCTCAGATTCATTTTAGAGGCTACACAATAAAAGTATGCTTTTCAATGTGTACCTTATACAGAGGCTAGTAGGAAATGTCCTGTTTGTTAGACATGAAACCGTGAAAGAAATCCTAAGCAGGCAGTGTAATGTTCATAAAATAAGAATGCCATTCTATGGGCTCATGTACTAAACGTTGAGAATCATCCTAACCTCCTGTGCCATAGTAATTTGAGATGCTTGTTGATTTGGCAATTGGTCACACAAAATAAAACATACAAACATCATGTGTATTCTTCAGCCAATCGGGTCTCCAAAGAGTCTTTAAATGTTCAAACTGAACAAAGACTCTGCATCTATCAAGGTCACATTATTGTCTCGGACAGCTGCTGTCTGCCAGGTAATGTGCCATTTTTTTTTGTTTTCTTTTAGCTTTACTTAGTGGTAATAGGTAGTTTCAGATTACTGTGGTAATCCGTGCAGAACTAATCGCCTAATTAAATGTAAGACAAGTCAATGCACTAACACACATTGCACAATATTTGCTATCAGCTTTTTAATGACTTTATGGCATATATTGACAAAAGCATATGAAGCACTTAGCAGAAGAAATATTCTGACCCCCTATCTACTTCTAAAGAGTTATAGCAGGTATTAATATGACTGAGCAGTGACACTCTCCAGTCTTCTCAGGTATTACAGGCTTTGTTCATATTTTTTCTTAATGTATTTTGCTAATATTCTGAGGAAATATTCTGAGTTCAAAGATGAATCTTCTGAAAAGGAACTTTAAAAAGAGGGAAGCATCAGTGTAGCTCAGGTCAGATTTCAGAATTGATGGATGTGAAACGTAAATCCTTGTTGGAGTGAAGTATATGAGAAAGTGATTATGTATCCGTGTGACTTGGCTTGAGTTAGAATGATAAAGAGCGCAGGCAGAGTGTTTGGCAGAAACACAGCCATGAAGAAGTTCAAGAAGCTCTCAACTAGTATGTAAAGATGAATGAGGTCGCAAAGAAGATTTGAAAATGAGTTGGACATCACCGAGCCAACAGGCGAGGTAGATGATTTCTGTAGCAGTGTGTGGGAAGGAAGACTATAGCCTGAGAGAGGGAATTAATCCCATGTACAGCGGGATATAATTTATAAATGCATAGAATTTAATACATAGGATATAATTTATAAATGCAATACCAAATCTACTTACAAGTTTAAGATAAACATCTTATTTTCATAAAGATTTGGGGAGGGCAAAAATTAGAAGTTCCTGTGTGTGAAACCGAGTAATAGATTAAAGCTTATTTGGCCTGAGATTTTTAAAATAAAGGCTGAAGGGCTTCTTAAAAGCAAGCAATTCGGGTGTGTATTTCACAGACACCAGTTGATTTTTTTGGTCTTTTTTTGACCTCAAAACTCAATGTCCTATGACTCATATTAGCTGTAGGCACTTCCAAATTATTAGATTACTTTGACTGAAGTAGGTACAAAACTAATCTCCAACTCTGTTTTTTTCATGTGTAACAAGAAAGAAAGAAATAAACAAAACCCCTCCAGCCAACCCAAATAGATTAGCTAATGATGAATGCATTGGTAATTTTAAAGTGACTGTTAATGTATTATTTAGAGCTGAGTTTATTTCATGGAAATGACGTGTGGATTTTTGGTGTTGTCTTTGTGTCATCCTTGTTTTCATGTTTTAAAGTGTCAGTCTCTAATTCTTTGTTTATTGAGCTCAAAACTCAGCCAAATTGACTTCTCGAGATTAGGTTGACATCTGAAAGACCAGAACTTTTACCTGTCATCTTCACAACTCTTCTAATGTCAGTAGAGTTCTCATGACTTACACCTACTAAGGTTATGGACTTATAAAATACAAAACTGAGATTACTGAGCCTGGTCAGTAGCAACAGTTTCCACTTTTATTTCATATGAGTGTTTTTATACCTCTTTTTATATATGTTTTTGATTTGTATTTGCTTGTATTTGTTTGTTACATGCTCCTCCTTAAATCTAGGTGGAAAAAAGTTACTCATAAATTATTTATGAAGTAAGCTTGAAGATTAATCAATAGAATATATATATATTCACATATAAATATACATATAAATATATATATTCACATTAGTAGCTGGAACTATTTTGGGTTTTTTTTGTATATTCCTATCCTTAAGTAGAACTGGTGTATTGTAGCTTTTGAACAATAAAATTAGTCACTTACTATGTGCAAAATAAAGAGACTACAGAATGGTAATACTACAGGATTATGGTAGAGAGGTCCCCAAATTCTTGCAAAATCTCCATAAAAAAGATTTTGCTTGTCTGTTTGGACAAGCAATTTTTCACCATGCTGCATACAACCTTAGTGAAATTTCCATATGATTGGAATTCCTTTTGTTTTAACTTATTTCCTGAAAAGCTGTTTTTCAGATTGTCACACAAAATTGATTTACTACCATACCTCCGTATCCCCTTAAACAAGTAGAAGGTAGAAAGAAATGGGAAATAAAAGACAAACCAACCAACCAAACATACCAAAACCAACAAATCAGCCCGTCCCTTCTCCCAGAAGTCAAAACAGAAGGGAGCAATGTTCCTGAACACTGACAAATAACAGAAGAAAGCAGGAGAGGAATATGTGAGAAGAGTTGTGGGCAAGGTAGCTACAGAGATTATAAAATAATCACAATGTGATATTTAAACAGTGTTTTATGGTGTTTCCATAAACAGAGGTGTTTCCATTAGTATATGATGATAATGAATCATGATCATATTTCAGCGACAGTTCTCGCTATGACAGCAGACTTTTCTGATTTCTTTTTTTTTTTTTTTTTTTCCTTTTTATTCCTGTGGATCACATACAGAAGCAAAGGAGAGAATTATTTGAGGAACATAATCAAATGGAAAAAGAAAATACATATTTGTACTCAGAAGCAGACAAACAGACACTGTAAACACTGGAATTGTATTTCATGCTGAAATTCAGCTGTCTCTGTCAGGTTTCCACTTAAAATTCTGTATTTTTATTATACTGCAAGAAATTAGGACTATGAGTTAAGCAGCAGTAAATCTTTAATCCGAAATATATCAGTGCATATAGCGTACAATGACACAAAGGCTATATATCTTATATATGTCAATTACTTAAATTCTGAAAATCATAAACTATGTGTACTTATATTTGTCCACTTGCATGTTAAACTCTTGTATAAACTCTTGAGAATGATTTGCTGTAAAAGTGGATGTTATATAGTCCATTTTATGTTTAAAACAGGCAAGAGTAGGTGAGAGTACTAACCTATAATAATAATAATAGGCTAAAAAAAATGATAGCAATGTGAGGCATGAGCTGATAATATTGCTTTAACCTCAAGTTTAAATCTACAAAGTTTATGAAAAGTTAAAGAGTGAACTTTGACTTTACAAAGAAAATAAGAAGGCATAAAAAAATCAGCATTTATACAGCAACATCAATTCATTTTTTCTGGAAAGAATCTTATCTGATTTATTTGCTAAGGTTTTTTGAGGGTAAGAGGCACTGCAGTAAATTCAGTTCTGGCTCGCTAGATTCTGTTTAAAGACTCAGAGCTGCAAATAGCCCCAGTATAGTCCCAATATTAATTCTATTCATACAAGTATCCTGATGTTTTTTGTAGAGCATAATATGCAAAGCTGTTTTCTTTTTTTCAGCAAGACTCCCTTCAGCGGCTTGTCGGAGTGAAACTTGATAATGCTCTAGGGTCTAGTAAATATATGCACAAGTAGTAAAAAGCTGTGTAAGCATTCACAAGAGTCCTTCTTTTACTTTGAATCCTAAAATATTTATCGATAATGGGGTAGAAGCGTTAAAACAGACAGATTCCCTTTGAAATCGGTACGCATTTCACTGAATCAAAGGGTCATATTATATCTGTATTTCTGCAAAGCTGGTACTTCAGTTTACAAAATAACAAAACGAAAAATAGTTTTAAAATGAGTATTAGGATTTTTTTTATATACATCAGTTAATATAGCTCATTTTTCCATTAGGTACTAGCCATTTTAAAAGAGAAAAACCTTGTAACAAAACAAGAAAAATCCTACTGAGCACTTACAGATCTGTATGGGATTGTGTATGTATTTTTTGCGTAACATTTATAATCATCTATAACAACCTATAAGCTATGGATGTCTACACACTGTGAATTATAACACTTTTTTGTCCAAAGTGTTAGTACCATAGACAATAATATGACCAATATTTCTCTGCCCAATCTTGTTTTGCAGTCCCTTTTAACTTGTTTCTTGCATTTTGTATGTTCCAGTACACATTCATTTTTTTCTTTATTTCAGTATCTTCTAATTTAAACTCTGATGCAAATCCATTGCTATAAAGGATGAGTATACTCTGATATTATATGTATGACACAGTAAAGATAACTTAATAATAGACAGTATCTATATTATAAGAATATAAGACAAGTTGACAAGACTTTTAACTGACACACAATCACCCATGGAATCAGAGAGAGTGTGGATGATACCCTACAATTGTATTTAGCCTCCTTGATAACAAGAATTGCATAAATGTTTAATTAGTTAATCTCCTTCCATTTGGAAGGTCTAAATAAAGTGATATATTTATTTCTAAAAATTTTCAAGTGAGCTTTATTTTTTGATTTTCAGACTATATTACTTGAAGTATCAAAATAACGTACGTAACTCCAGGTATCTGTACAGAGTTTGAAAATGAATGACAAATAAATGCTGTTCACTGTAAATTGCAAGAAAAAAAGCACAATTTAATCTTAAAGCAGCTTGACTATTTTATAGTCAATTGTCAGTCAAAGCCAAAGTTAAATAAGAATGAGAGGGAGCAATCTTGCCAGTCGTAACTGGGACTGATGACCTTTGCATTTATCATGTGACTAGGAAAGCAAGGAACTTTAAGGTTCTCCTCCTTCAAGGACGAGAAATCTGAGGAAGCTATCAACAGGTGTAAGGAAGCTATCAACAGGTGTATCAAATTCTGTTCAACAAACCAGAAAACGTTATGGTGTCCTTCCACCCAGGAAGTCAGTTTGACAATCACAACCCAGTTCCACATCACAAGTGATGTGAGCTATAAACAACTGAGCTACTTAAGGGATATGTATAGGTTATTTAAGAAGTACTTGTAACTCTAGGACTAGACTCTGGTTTAAAGACAGGCTGCCTTTGGGAGAGCAGTACTGCATTGATTTCTTGTGGACAGCATGTGCTCCAGCAGAAACTGCATCGGCATCAGAGGATGAACAGCACATCCCTGTCTGGTAGTCTGGATCCAGCTATCTCCTATATCCTCCTCCTCTACACAAGACCAGTATGACAGCAGCAGCTATGCCCTCTAGCCGTCATGCAACTGATCTGCAAACAGGAAGTAAA